CCTTTTTCTATGAAGTGGTGGGTACCTCAGTTTTATGATTTGATTCTCATTTCTTTAAAAAAAAGATGAGTATGCGTGGTAGGGGGTACAGGTATGGTATAAACTTCAGGTAGAAATAAGGAAATAAGGGATCTGGTTTGCCTCAGTGGAAAAAAAAGGCCATAAAACAGAATCACACTTAAAGGTACAAACTATAAAATTCACTACCTGCCATTTATTACATCAACCTTAAAAAAAAAGTCATTTTAAACAAAAAGTTTGACATTTAAAAAGAAAAGAGGGCTTTTATAATGCTGATGAACTCATCTGAGAGTACATGATTTATAAATACATAAATATCATGCACATTTTTACAGTGATAGCTACTGGAAAAATGAGAACTTTTAAAAAGCAATCTGGATAAATTCCTTTTCATTCCAACTGCCTCTTTATGCTGGTAATAACAGGAGTCTTAAGAGTTGCTGTGGACCATGTCACATACATCCCATCCTCCTAAGCCTGTAGCTGATGATGAAAATGATAAATCTTCTGCCTTAGCTTTCATGCTGGAGAAAAAAGAAAAAAGGTTACATAGCCATGTAGTCCAGTGAGTCAAATTTAATTTTTTAATCTTCATAAATTAAAATATAGCAATAATATATTTATATACTACTCAGATGGTAAGTATACTTAGAAATTATTAATATTTTACTACATACAGAAAATTCAGCAAAACACTGACCACACCATCCACTTGGAAGCCAGAACCTATTTTTCTTGTCTTGTCACTTGCAACCTATAAATGTTCACAATTTAAAGTGATAATGGAAATACTTACAATTTAGCTTTTCCTGGCATGCCCTGCAGTGAAGGGTTATAAAAATTGAATCACACAAACACTTATTGTTCTGAATTAAAAGCAGTCAGATTCAGGTAGTAATTCACAACATTTCACATTGAGTCAGGATATTTAGGAGATGTGAAGGTTATATATTTCTGGATTTCACACTATTAGAAACTGTAAAAGCATGTATTCAAATAGTGATAAATTGATGCAGATATATTCTTTCTGGGTAGTCTCTCGCACCTTTGGTAAATTTAAACATGGCTTTATACAACTTTTAAGCAAGGTGTGAAGAAATCACTCTGGCTGTCACCTTGTATTTGAATGGATTTCCTTAACATTTAGCAGTTTGAATGAATCAATCTGCGTCTTTTTAGTAATCAGAGATTTCAAGGTATGACCTATTTCCTAGCTCTTTTTGAAAGATAAAAAAAAATTCCTCAGCAAAAGTCAAATATAAGAAGTCTTTCTCTGTTTAGGAGAATGCAACGTCACCTAAAGAAGCCATCTTAAATCCAGTGAGAAAAAGTCCCCTAAGCCACATCTCAGATTGCTCTACAGCAGCACAACAGCTGCCCCTGGTTTTGGCTGCTGCGAATATAGTCTTTTCTACAAGGTGTCGGCCAGTGATTCCATGTATCACCAGTAGATTAAGCTAAGGCAAGGTCCACTGTTTGATTTGCCACTATGGCCAGAACCAAGCACGGTACCTGCCACTGATTAGTAAATCCTGCTGTGATAGATAGTTACGCTGCTTCCTTCCCACCCCTCAATGAAGCCTGTCTCCCAGAATTTATCCCTGGAGGTATGTACTTAATGGTGGGCACTAAATAAGAGGAAAAGGGAGGGGACACAGAACAGGTACCATAACTAAAAGGTAGAATGGTAATAGTGCAAAGAACAATTGCACTACAAGTATTTCTTGAGACACTATGTGCAAGGCAATTCCTCAAGTCTAGAAGACTCAAGTCTCAGGTTCCCTCCAGAAAAAAAAGAGAATGTGGGCTTTATTCAGCAATCTGGGAGACCTTCTAGAGAATCAGCTTGCCCGCCGGCTGGACAAAGCTGTGGAATCTCATATCAATGAGTTTTTTAAAAAGGCCGGATGCTTTTTTGTAGGCTGCCTTTTTCTATGAAGTGGTGGGTACCTCAGTTTTATGATTTGATTCTCATTTCTTTAAAAAAAAGATGAGTATGCGTGGTAGGGGGTACAGGTATGGTATAAACTTCAGGTAGAAATAAGGAAATAAGGGATCTGGTTTGCCTCAGTGGAAAAAAAAGGCCATAAAACAGAATCACACTTAAAGGTACAAACTATAAAATTCACTACCTGCCATTTATTACATCAACCTTAAAAAAAAAGTCATTTTAAACAAAAAGTTTGACATTTAAAAAGAAAAGAGGGCTTTTATAATGCTGATGAACTCATCTGAGAGTACATGATTTATAAATACATAAATATCATGCACGTTTTTACAGTGATAGCTACTGGAAAAATGAGAACTTTTAAAAAGCCAATCTGGATAAATTCCTTTTCATTCCAACTGCCTCTTTATGCTGGTAATAACAGGAGTCTTAAGAGTTGCTGTGGTCAGTGTCACATTCATCCAATCCTCCTAAGCTGATGATGAAAATGTGATAAATCTTCTGCCGGGAGCGCCAGCTCCATTACTTCAGAGCTTGCCAAGACTGGACATAATGCACAAAAGAGAACCTCTTAAAATACAGGCATGCTGTTTTTCTAACTTTCCTTTCACAATTCACATATAGTGACTTTTCATGCTGCCATTTTCCCTCTTGGGATAAAAATGTTCTCAGGAAAAATGGACCAAGTAATTAGGTTGACAACTACTTTCTTTAAGCTAATAATGATAGCTTCCTAGTTAATCACTCCTCTTTCTCCTTGATTAAGACATTATCTTGGAAATATTAACTCTGGCAATAAAAGCAATGACACCCTACCTGAGTCAGCTGCTGCTTTTTGTTGATTATTGCTCATTTAATGGATAAAGCTGGGCAACCACAAAGGCTGCTAGTGGGTGCCTAGGAGTGGTGGTTAGATAATCAAGATATTTGTGTTTGGGTCCCCCTCTTTCAAAAGAAAAAAATCATACACTGCAACTGTTTAACAAATCTCACCAGAGACCAATAATCATTTCTTTTCTCAGACCAAAAAAAAGAAGAGTTGGACAGCACACAGAGATGTACTTGCCTCAAAGCTGCAGAAAAGGCATAAAGTATTTTTAAAATCTTACTTTAAAGAATTTATGTCTCTAAGTCATCATCACTGTCTGGTCCCGAGATACCAACAATGCCAGGCGATTCATTTCCACTTGCTAGCTAGCTTTAAAACTCAACTATAATTTTGGAGCTAAGATTCAATTCTGGGCAGAATGACAACAGACATTTTCAGGTAACTCTAATTTTGGAGCTAAGATTCAATTCTGGGCAGAATGACAACAGACATTTTCAGGTGTATGGCTTAACATCAGGGTTTTTTTTCCTCTAGGCTAGCAATGTCGCTTAATATTCACCAGTCTCTATTACATGCAAAAACCATAGGCAAGGGACAAAACTACTGCTGCACAGTCCTTATGGCTCTCTTTCCAGTGGGTTTTCAGGGTGGCCTTCAATGGAGAGGAAACAGTCTTCAATACCACACAAATCTGTTATGGCACACAGATTAGATGACTTTCTCAGGATGGGCTTAGCTAGAAGAATCTAACAACTGCCAAAACTGTGTGTGCATGCTCTAAGTATCTCACTTTTCAGGATCAGCTGAATTTCATTTTCAGTGGCACCAACAGTCTAAATTTAAACTTCATTACTAAGAAAACATAAGTTTTATTTGAAGGAAGTTGCAACACAAAATCCCAAAATGCCATAGAATTATGGTTTCTGTGAAGACTTCCTCCAGAGGTAACTGCTAATGATTAGTACAATGGCAGCATTTGTTTCAGGGATGCTAAGTACATGTCTCAGGACTCTCCTCTGGAGGCTCACACTGTGCAGTAAGTGTCAAGAATGAACACCCCAGGGCAGGAACTCTACATTTTTAAGGTGCAAGACCCCTTTACGATGTTTAAGTTTAGACAGACCCTTCCCAACATACACACACACTTCTTCATACTGGTCTATGGATGTTTGGGACATGCCAAACCTCCTTAGTCTCCTCCTGGGGTCTGCATCTTATATCATGAAATGTTCTGATTTCTAATAGCCCAGTGTGACTGAAAAGAGCACAACTACCTGTCAGAAAACATACAAGACAGAAAAGTATAATGGAGAACTGATGTAAGAAAAACTTATCTGAGGGAGGGCAGAAAACCTCTTAGCAACAAAAGGCAGGGAAAGAATCTGCCACAGGCAGTTAGGAAACGAAGGTTTGCCCCATTCCCTGCCTGCCCCTGCCCCTACCCCTGCCCCATGGGGTACTTACTCTGTGGCCGCCAGCAACTATCTAGCCCCTCCCTGACCAGGCCCAAAACTTCACCACTCCAGGACAACCAAGAAGGACTCCCAGTCATTTTTTGAAGTATTACATGAGAGGATCCAAAAAAACCACAAACTCAATTCATATGGCTCCCTGGCTAAAAACAGCCATCTGTTAACAGCTGATTTTTAAAAACAAAACAGTGTCTCAAACACCAACCTGAAGCTTCTGACTCCAGGCTCAGATTACCACAAACTCAATTCATATGGCTCCCTGGCTAAAAACAGCCATCTGTTAACAGCTGATTTTAAAAACAAAACAGTGTCTCAAACACCAACCTGAAGCTTCTGACTCCAGGCTCAGATTAAAAACTAAATATTTTTTTTAGAAAAACAAACCATCTAAAATCAAGTGGGGTGTGCTGTTGGGGACTGAAATACTTTCTGGGCAGCCGAGGATTTGATTAGTTCCTTGAAACCCATACAGAAGGGGTTTTTCATGTGTCCTTTGTTTTTCACGTGTTCTGCCTCCCAAAACAAGACCCAACTGAGGTGAAACAAGGGCTTACCTAGATTTCTGAGGGTAGAACTAAAAAGGGGCCAGCAGCTTTTTACTATTACTTTGGTCATTTTCTATTTTCTGAGTATCTTCTCTGGGGTATGCCTACACTAGGTTTTGCAGTTATAAGGACTAACAACACTTTAGGCACCACCTCTCCCCTCAAGGTCACAATCTGCTCTAAAAGAGTCCTGGGTAAAGTGCCAAAGGAATTTTGGAAGATAAGAGAGCAATCAATTCTGCTGCCTGAGTAGACTGGGACAAATGTGAAAAAGCATGTCTGGGCATGATTCTGAAAAGTAGCAGGGATGCCCGACACTATCCTCTGGTTCATTCTGCAGCTCGCTATAGCTCCAGCTCTAGGGTCCACACATAAGACTCGAGGCCAGAGCTCACTGTGTAAAAAGAAAATAGCCTCAAATCAAACTAAGCCCTACAGAATAAGGAACAGCTATGATATCTGAACATTACTCTAGCCACATTCCTATCAGCAAGTCAGAGAGGCCAAACAAGTTTGGTCAGGCCTTCACTCACTGGGTAAGGATGAGTTACTCTGTCACCAACAAGATTTTTTAACAAGTGGGAAACTTTAGCAACATTTCCCGAAAATCTAGCAAAAACCTCAAAGCAATGTTTCTAGACAAACTGAAGAGGTCGAGCTTATGTGTAACTCCGCTAACAATGCATAATTTATAGTACTGAGTTATGTAATTATGAAAAGGTTTATACCAATTACAGGAAAATAAAAATGGAAGGGCTTAGATGTTTGGGGTAGTAAACAAGAGCACTCAAAAAACAATATACTCTAATATAATGTTTTCAAAGCAGGGACGGTTTACACCATTTCATCAAAGACATTTAGAAATCCTGTTTACCTTTTTCATTAATTCACTTCTGGTAGTAAACTGGGGCAGGTCTTCCACTTCAATCCCGTCAGCCATTTCCATCACCTTGTCTAAAAGGTCTTTATTGTA